TTGTAGGTTTATGGAGTATCTCAGGATGATAGTCTTTGGGAGTGCTCTACTCTTAATTGGTCAGTGAATCTGGACTTTCAAAACATCATTTGCATTCTGGTCTACATTTTTTCCTCCCCTTCTCTTAGGATCCTCATCGCTAGCATCCCTGATCAGAAAGGTCACCAGTGGTGGCCAGCTTCTACCTGCTCTTGGTTTCAGGTCATGGCTCCTGGGCTGCTAATCATTTGGATTAGTTTCTTTTCGGAATTCTTGTTTTCTCTTTCTCTCATTTGCTCCACATAAGACAAGTCAGTTTCACTGTGGATGGTTACTCAAATGCTTTTACTATCCAAAACGCTATTATTAAAGTAAGATGTAACACATGAACTTTGTGAACTATGGTATGCCAGTTGACCAAGTTGTCCCATGATCCTAAAGCTTCAAATCCAGAAATCCAATTCTGTGAGGTGGTCTTCATATCAAAGAAGTATCGAAAACATGGTGCCATGTATATATGCACACATACAGACACACCTATATGGCACTGTGGGTTAGGTATTGGGTTATTAACTGCAAGGCCAGTAGCTCAACCATCTGCTCTGAGAGAGAAAGATGAGGCTGTCTGCTTCTGTAAACATTTATAGTATCAGAAACAATTCAATCATGACAAGTATATATGACGTGTAGGCAAAAAACATAAATCACAAGGTTAGCTTTCCTGATTTTGGGATTTTCTTTTAGGAGAAAATTCTCTAGAATTTCTCAAAATAGATTGTGAATTTCTTTAATAATAATTAGGACTTCCTGAAAAAAAAAGTTAGCTAAAAGGACATAAGATAGAAATGTTTAATGAAACCCAGGACTGATAAACCTATAGGGACAGGAAGTAGAATAAGGGGTTTGTGGAAAGGGCTACAGTGGTAGTGGTAGGGTCCAAGGGAGATGAAGTCAAGGAGTCCATGTAGAAAATGAATGGTTGGAAACTGAGTGTGGTAGCAATTGCACCATGCTATTTGACAGGATTGGAATATGGAATGATATGCTATATGTCTTAAATCCCAACTAATTAAGAAACACGTTTAATAACCAAATCAACTCCCTTCTGTGTGAGTCATACAGAAATCTCTGACATTAATTTTGGCCAGAGTGGCCTCTGATGCAGAAAGAAAGAATTTGAGGAAATATTGTATTGCTGGAATGTTTGCTACTTTGCCTATGTCTCACTAATTTATGTCCTTCAAATTTAAAGTTTATACTGAATAGGTTTATACTGAAATCTTTGATTTATATGCCAGTAATTCAACAACCACATAATTATCATATATTTTGTTTTATGCAAGAGAATAAAGAAATAGCTAAAGAAATAGACTTTAAACATGCTAAGTCATTTGTTTAAGATCAAGCAGCTCTCTTCAATGATGTGCTATTTCAAGGTGTGGATCACAATAAATTACAGATAATATTTTGAACAGAGCACTCAATTGTGCTCATACAGAACCAATATGAGCCAAAAGGCAGTTCTCTGAACATACCTGAGGATACTAAGTGGATTAAAATCAAGAAAGGTATGTGTCAGCAGTATATCATTTCACCATACTGATTGAACATGTGAATAGCCCTGGTGGCCTAGTGGTTATGCGTTGGGCTGCTAACTGCAAGGTCAGTCGTTCAAAACCCCCAGTCACTGCTTGGGTGGTAGATGAGGCTTTCTACTCTCCTATGAATTACATCTCAACATAAAGAAAACAAAAATCTTCACAACTGGACTAAAAAGCAACATCATGAGAAATGGAGAAGAGTTGAAGTTGTCAAGAATTTAATTTTACTTGGATTCACAATCGGTGCTTAGGGAAGCAGTAGTCAATACATCAACCAGTTTTGCACTGGGAAAAATTGGTACACAGGGCACCTTAAAGTGTCAATGAACAAAGATGTCACTTTGAGGATTATGGTGTACCTGACTTAAGCCATGGTATTTTCTTTTTCTTCCAAGAGTTGTATTGGCACATAATTTACATATCACACAACTAAATAGTTCAATTTTTCAATCATATCAAGGGGAATTGTAAAATCACCACTACTGTACTTTGATCTTAGAGCCTTCCACCCTGCCATGGTTAAATTGCCTTTAAGCTGAGTTGTGCAATCACGATCATTTCTAGTGTTCTCTCATCCTGCCTGCCTTCATTGTTTACTGCCCAAATCCTCTTTCCTTCCCTCTCGCCATCCCTACCCCTGCATTCCCTATAGTACCTTGTTTGTTTGCTTTTAAAATATCATTTTATTGGGGGCTTGTACAACTTTTATCACAATCCATACATCCATCCATTGTGCCAAACACGTTTGTTGTACATTTGTTGTCACCATCATTCTCAAAACATTTTCTTTCTACTTGAGCCCTTGATATTTGCTCCTCATTTTCCCCCTACCTCCCACCCTCCCTCCCTCACGAACCCTTGATAATTTATAAATTATTATTATTCTGTCATGTCTTACATGGTCTGATGTCTCCCTTCACCCACTTTTCTGCTGTCCATCACCCAGGGAGGGATTATATGTAGATCGTTGTGATAGGTCCCCCCTTTCTCCCCCTTCTCTTACCCTCCTGATATCTCTACTCTCATTATTGGTCCTAAGGGGTTTATCTGTCCTGGATTCCCTGTTTTTCCAGCTCTGATCTGTACCAGTGTACTCCTTTGGTCTATCTGGTCTAGCTGTATCTGTAAGGTAGAATTGGGATCATGATAATGGGGGGGAGGGG